ATGCAGCAAAGCAAATGCAGTGGTGCACACTTACAGGCATGGTTTCTCAGGGTTCGCGGCTCGTCTCTCCGAAGAGGAGGCCCGCTCCATTGCTCATAAACCTGGAGTTGTGTCTGTTTTTCCTGATCCCTTATTAAAACTCCATACCACTCAATCTTGGGAATTTCTCAAGTATCAAACTGCTTTAGAAATTTATTCAAATCCCAACTCCATCTCCGGTGCCGCCAACGGATTTTCATCTGTTAGTGCTAATGGATCTGACACCATCATTGGTATTTTGGACACAGGTAATTATAGTCAGTTGATAATTAATTAAGATTCATAACTCTGATTGATTAATAGCCTACGTGACGTGTATCAAATTAAACAAATAGGTATTTGGCCGGAATCAGAGAGTTTCAATGACAAAGATATGGGTCCGATTCCGTCACGGTGGAAGGGAACGTGCATGAAAAGCGATGATTTCAGTTCCTCCAACTGTAATAGGTAAAAATGTGTACATATTAATTTCATGTTTAGGAATTTGAGTTGTGATTAAAACATATTTTAAGCCGTATGATATGATGATCAGGAAGTTGATAGGAGCAAGGTTTTACGACACCTCTGAATCTGATGATACAGAAACGGAGGACGGTTCACCAAGGGATTCGCAGGGACACGGCAGCCACGTGGCAGCCACAGCGGCAGGAAGCATCGTACAGGGTGCATCCTACTACGGTGTAGCTGCTGGGACAGCCAAGGGAGGCTCCCCAACTTCAAGGATCGCCGTCTATAAGGTATGCTCATCGGAAGGTTGCCTTGGCTCGGCCATTTTAGCGGCCTTTGACGACGCTATCGCCGACGGGGTGGACGTTCTTTCGCTGTCGCTTGGTTCACCCATTGAGTATGAGCCGGAGTTGAGCAGCGACCCTATTGCGATCGGAGCGTTCCATGCGGTGGAGCAGGGGATTACAGTTGTCTGCTCCGCGGGGAACGATGGCCCCTCCCCTGAAACGGTTGTCAACGCTGCGCCTTGGATTGTGACCGTTGCTGCCACCACCATTGACCGCGATTTTGAATCTGATGTGGTGTTAGGTGGAAACAAAACGATCAAGGTGAGGTGACTGCCTGATTACGGAGCTGATTACTGACCCACCATGTTAACGTGTATTATATTGTGTCTATGATGCAAATCATTTTCTGTCTGGCTCTTTTGTTCTTAATGAGCAAGATCTTTAAAAGAAATTGTGAAATCTCAGGGAAGAGGCATAAATTTTTCCGAACTCCAAAAATCTACTGTGTACCCGTTGATATATGCTGGGTCTGCGGGCAAAGGTGACGCAAGGTACGTATTACGATTTCCAACTCCCATCCATATGATGCCTTGTAATTATGCATCTCTGATTCCCAGATCACACTGCTGATATACAATTTCAGAAACTGCGACGCAAACTCAATGGCGGCAGAAAAGATCAAGGGGAAGGTTGTTATGTGTGACACCAATGATGATAATTATTCGAGGAATGAACAGATTGACGCAGTGAAGAGTCTGGGCGGAGTTGGTATCATTTTTCAAGAAAAGAATCCGGGAGTAGTAGTATATATTTCCACAGCACTTCCGGCAACGGTCGTCAGCGTAAAGGATGGTCTGGACATCCTCTCCTATATCAACTCAACCAGGTAACTATAAAACCTCAGAATTTATAGCGTGTGTTTTGAAGCAAAGGCAATCGGTAGCTGAGAGTTGAAAATAATTAATCAATTACTTGTGAAGAAACCCAGTTGCAACCATCTTAGCAACAGTGACGGTGACAAAGTATAAACCAGCGCCCATTGTGGCATATTTTTCATCCAGAGGACCTTCGCATGGCACAAGGAACATTCTCAAGGCAAGCAAGCGGGCTTCTGATTTCCAATTTTCCAAAACATGACATCACAAACAAAGTTTAAAGCAATATTTCTAATATACTTGTTTGCAGCCTGATATTGCAGCACCTGGTGTGAATATTCTTGCAGCATGGATGGCCAATGATACGGGTATTGCTCTAGAAGGAAAAGAGCCCCCACTATTCAATGTCATATCAGGGACTTCCATGGCATGCCCCCATGTTTCTGGCATAGCTGCCACCGTCAAATCGCAAAACCCCACATGGAGTCCTTCTGCCATCAGATCAGCACTCATCACAACAGGTCGAGAATATTTCATAACATAATGTTAATCATCAAGTTTAAAGGCACTTTTCTTTATCAACCCAACACTTATTTCTACAGACTGAATCAATTTGCAGCAACTCAAACAGACAACCTGGGAGCCCCAATTACTACAGATTCTAATTCTACCGCCACCCCGTACGATTACGGTGCAGGGGAAGTAAGGACAACTGGACCCTTACAACCAGGGCTGGTTTATGAAACTGAAACCATCGACTACTTGAACTACCTCTGCTATTATGGCTACAACATATCCCAAATTAAAACCATCGCAAGAACTGCTCCCAAAGAATTTGCCTGCCCCAAGGACTCCAATGCTGATTACATATCCAACATCAACTACCCATCAATAGCAATTTCCAATTTCAATGGAAAAAATACCAAGAATGTAAGCAGGAGGGTTACAAATGTCGCAGGAGATGGTGAAACAGTTTTTACCGCTACTGTGGATGCACCTACCGGTCTAAGTGTCACAGTGATTCCTGATAAACTAGAATTTTCAAAGAACAACCAGAAGCTGAGTTACCAAGTGGTTTTCTCTTCAACCACGTCCTCTCCCAAGGGAGATATGTTTGGGTCTCTTACATGGACCAATGGAAAGAATAAAGTCCGAAGTCCATTTGTTGTAAGCATTTGAAAACTGATCAGAACTATTTCAATGAAGATGATCAATATTTCAATAATTTTTCTTCCCTAATCACCATAACCTACACAATATGATTTCATCACAATCAGGCCTTGCAAATGGCAGTTTCTCCAGTCGTATTGGAAAATATTACAATCTCTACATCTAACTTAAAGATGCAATAATCTAGAGGTAAGATCTAATAATTCAGAGCATATTGGAAATTCCTTATGCCTAAAGGCAGGGATCAATCAACTTAAAATAAACAAGAATGACCACATAATAAGAAGCACATTTTTATCATATTAACATACAACAAAAGAGAACCCGAAAACATCACAGTTTGTAGATCTAGAAGAGCAGGGGGTAAGGTGGACGAAAATGATTGTCATCTGCAGAAGAACAAATATCCAAACAAAAGTACTTAACCAAGTAAAGAAAATTTTCAGATAATAGATAGAAACAGCATTCCACGGCCACGAGCTCAAAAAGAGCAACAAACCACAAAAACAGGTTTCTTCATCTCTAGGTCTTCACTCGAAAGCCCATTGGTTCTCCCTGCGGACCTCCTCCTCTTCCTCGGGCGTAAAGTCGTTCTTAATGTTGAACGTCTTGCGAATCTCCTCAGGTGTTTTGCCCTTGATCATGTCCGCCACCGTTTGGCAAGTCAGGTCCAGCAAGCTCTTTATGTTCAAATAGTTTGCAGCCTATAAACAACAGAACTCGAAAGTATTTTTTCTCCCTATTAGTTGTACTACCCAAGAGGAAAAGAACTAGATCACAAATACAGGCATGAGCAAACAAGCTATGTGTGGCTCTGCTTATCAAATTTTCAGTTATATATATATAATCAAACCTTTCAACATATAAAGAAACCTTGCGATCCAGTGGTCATCAAGTGACTAGCAAAGGTATGAACATGAATCATAATGGAGAAGACAACAGATGCTATACTTTCCCAAAATTAGACAAACTAATTCATGAATCTAATGCCCTAAAAACTATAAGAAGTGCAATAAAACAGTGGGTTGTGGGAGATATAAAGCCCTAACTCGACAAACGTCAAATCAGAAAGAAAACTCATGTCTATCAGACAATCAGAAACCCTAACGCAATTAAGGAAAGAATTAATCGAATTGTTCACAGCATAATAAAAAACGAGAAGAGAGTGAAAATAGAAAAAGGGATAAAAGAAACGGACCAGTATGAGATCGAAGAGGGTGGCCTGGTCGATCTTTACAAAGTCGGTGTCCCAGGCCTTGAGGTCCTCATCGTTGGAAGGGCGGTCGTCGGGCTTAGCAGCGTCGACGTGCTTCTTGCAGTACTCGATGACCTTGGCCAAGATCTTGCTGGTGACGTTGGGAAGTGGGATCCCATTGTCCGCACAATCATCCTCGACCATGTGCTTTATCGTCTGAGACTCCAAGGCCACCGCCTCGTCCACCTCGAACGTCTCGCCGTCCGAGCTTTTCAGTGTTATCTTCCTCTCTGACGACATCGTTCAGATCGGTGCCTTAACCCTAGAAAGCCAAAAGAGAGATGATTTTGGGATTTGATAGAGAGAGGAGGTTAATTTAACAAGTCCGAGGAGTAGCTTTTTTCTTTTTCTTTTACAAAGACTATTTTTATTTGGATAAAAAAATATATAAAAAGACAAAGGAAAATGAGAATTTTTATTTGAGAGTTTCACTAAAACATCCAAAATAGGGGCTGAAATTATAAAAAAACTCAACATCCAAAATGCTTTATAAACACACCAAAAACCCATCATTACACACTCAAAATTCATTTATAAACACATCCAAAAAATATACAATTGTTGATTTTGAGTGTGTTTCTATGTTTAAATAGTATTTGAATTTTTTTATAAATACACGTCTAGAATTGAATTTATTTATAAATTTTTATTTTTATTTTACGTCACCCATCTCAAGTTCAGTTTTACTCCCCTCCAATTATTTACGAGAAATTCAAAGATATATCATCAATCATTAATGTCATAATTTGTTGTGTTTTGTTTTTCTTTTCAAGTTAATTGATAGGGTCATAATAGTACTTATATATTTTAATAGTGTTAAATTGAAATCTTAAGTTCGAAGTCAGAAAAATAATAAAGTTTCATTAATAAGGTAATCAACGAAATATTGTTTAAGCAATACCGAAAAATAAATAAAAATCACATTTCTCTTATTTTGAGGGCTTTCATAAGAAATGGTAAAGTATGGCAAGTAAGATTTGGTATCTGATCCAGAAAAATGAATAACAACTATGAGAACTAAAAGCAAGGCTAACAACACAGAATCAGGGCAGCGTCCGGAAAAAAGAAAGAAAAGAAAAACAAAATGACAACATAGGATCAGTGACAGATTTAAGGGTTAATCCAGCACGTTATATTCTGGCTAGACATCTTCAAAGCATCTGAAACTTGGAAGCCAACTAATATATCAATGGGAACGGATTGAGTTGGCGATCAGAGGGACCAGTTAGACCGTAGCATAAGTGCAGTCATTCTGGCATTCCCATCGACAATATGTGCAATACCTGGCTTCACACTGAATCTCTTGCCCAAGTTTAATTTCATGTAGGATTCAATCTGAAAACGGTCCAATAAATTAGGACCTCCAAGTATCCCACTCAAATTCATTCCCCATCCAACTGAATCTTCAGAATCATCAGACACACTCACAGCCCATTCTAAATGCCTGGGATTTGACTGCTTCATCTCAATCCAACCCCCAATCTTTGTCATCTCATCAACTTCTGATTCCAACATCAGAGCAATGGATCCACTTGAACCCTTTTCCGGTGAGTTTGATCCCAGTGGTGGCACGTATGCTTCAACCATTGCCTCCGGGGATCTATGATGTGTCAAACTGCCTTCAACGATTGTCTCATGGGATCTATCATGTGTCGAACTGCCTAAGGGAATGGTAAGAGCTCCAATTCTATGATCCACATACTCACTTGATAAGCTAGGCATTTGGTGAAGACCCAGAAGCGAGAGCTTTGTTCCTCCAGGAAGTTGACAGACAATTTGCCCAAAAGTGCTCAAGCAAAGCTCAACTCTACCAGAACCCACTTGCGCTCCCAGTCCGGAGACAAACTGAGCCAATGAAGCAACAGTATTTGATTTTTTCACCATTAAGCCAACTGCACTGCCATTATGCTGATTTAGAAGCGGTGGCCCAAATGATGAAAGATCAGTAAGGCCCTTCCCCTGCCAGGAGAAAGAGGAAATATATATGCTTAACTAAAATCCATCAGGAGACTTGTCAATGCCAGCAAATTTTACAGTGATAGAACAGATGCACCAACAAATGTAAAATTTACCATGAAAGAACACATAACACCAATAGGATGTACAACATGCCTAATGATATGGTTGATGTTACTCAATTAAAAAACTCACAAACAACATGATTGCCACAAAAGAAAAACTCCAACCAAATGATATGACGACCCTAGCTGATTATCGAACTAAACTAAAAGGTCTGTCAAATTCACCCACAAGAAAAAACTACATTTGAAAATCAAATGGGTTCACACACTGAGAAAAGAAAGAGCATCTTATTTACATCCTCAAATAATTGTTACGTTGACATCCATCTCATAAGTCATGACCTTAATTTTATGAAATGAAATCCGGAACACTAGTCCAACTCCATTGATGCATACAGGTCTTATCAGAAAGAAAAGGAAAATGAATGAATACTGGTATGTACCAAAAAATAAATAAATAAATAGAGGAAACAAATTAGTCCACCATTGAGATCAATGCGAGCATGTGATACCTGGTGGGAAGGATTTGTAAGAACTGCAACATCCCTGCACTGAGCTCCCACTGGGATTGCAATTGCAGATAACCAGTTGCTGACATTTGCTGTATAGGAAACTTTTGCTAGAGAAAGTGGGCATTCTGAAAGATCAGAAAGACTACCCTTGTGCTTCTGACTGGCTACGAACTCCGCCACAAGCGTATCATTCTGCCGAACACTTGTTTCAAAAGCATGCATCAACAAGACAGCCCCCAAGAGATCAACCTCTCCCCTTACAAGAGTGCTGGCTTCTTGGAATGGACTTCCTTTGGAAGTTCCATACAAGGAAACCATTCTCTCAACCTTATCTTGTCTATCCCTGAGTTTCATTAAGTCCGAAAATGCTTCTCGTTGCAGCCGCTTCAATATTTCAATCTGAAAATTTCATATCGTGTTAGTGTTGTAATTTGTAAAGCGTCATCACATAGCTCATTGCTTTATTTTCGATTTATCTAATCTGAATAAATACCCCACCATTTCTCACTCATGGGTACTCCTCCATTTTACAATGCAACTACCAGCAGCTTAGCTTAGGTTAATTTTTTTTTTTTTTTCTTTTGAAGCAAAAATAGGGCAAAATCAGTTTGAATTACGGCAAGGCAATGAAACATATCTACAGTGGGGACTGGGAAGTGGGATGAGAGATAATAAATAAGAAAAGAAGAAAGGAGCAATTTTGGAAATACCGGATGTCGGCGAGCTGAACGTTGAGGGTGCCCATGAATGAGGCCGTCAAACAATTCTCGGGTCGATTTTGTCAAACCTCTAAACTTGTCTACTACGAAAGCTAGGGGTTCCATTTCAGAACCCTATCAAGACCCTTCTGGACTAAGATTGCTGCAGTGATGGATTGTCAGAGACCCAGAGGGTTCATACATAGAAATTCAATATTGTCCAGATGCTGGGATTTTAAAATCCAGACTCAACCCGAGAGCGGCAAGCCTGCAAGCATTAGTCCAGTGAATTCCTCCTCTCTTTTCCTTTTCTTCTTCTTGGTTTTTCCTATTTGTTAAACGGCACGTCGTTTCATTGTTCAATCAGGCGGGATAGTAATGACACATGAGCCGAAAAGTCCAGCCCAGATGAGCCTAGCTTGTACTGGACCTAGTAATTGGGCCTATCTCTCTTTGAATTTCTTTGGTCCAAGTTGAAAAATTGCTCCCACTCCAAATTGAATGATGGCATTACAAGTATGAAGTGAACAACATCCGTTTTTGTTTTGGGGTCATTCTTTTTTGTTTTATGGCATTACAATTTACAAGATGTGCGATGAAGAGTTGCTGGAATGCATGCATCTCATGATTTCTCTCTTTGGGTGCGCAATTATATATATATATATATATGCTTCAAGATTACTTGCACAGATTTTCATCCCTATTTTCTCCATTATGAATTATAGGATGCATCCGCAAACTTAAGAAAATGATCAGTTGCATAAATAAATAAATAATACTGATTTGACTGAATATATATAATGGTAAATAAAGAATATTAGTGATCCCGCTTGAGCAATGTGATCGAAGTAATCCAATCCAAATCAATCATTGGCTGTGGAAGAAGGCTTGAATGGACTTGTGGAGTACCTGATGGGTAATAATCCTGTATGCTCTCTCAGAGGGATGATAACTGTCCCAGAAAACATAGCTTGTTGCATTTTCACAAGTGTTGGGAGACCATTTGTTACAAAATTCAGCAACCTCTATGATCCCTGTACCACAGCACCCTCTGTTTACAACTTCAAATCCTGCATGCATGCATGCATTATATTTTTCTCAAGAGATCGATTATTAACATATTGTTACAAGGATATTTGAATGAACCCTTACCATATTTTTGTGGATTGTGGATGATATCTAGGAAAGGGCCGTACACATCCATGAAGACGGCCACTGTGGCATGGAATTGGTCACTGTTAAGGCAATCCAACTCTGCCGATAGCTTCTTGTTGAACAACTCTGCTGCTTCATTGTATATCTCTACACACTTTCTTTCTGGACCTCCTCCTAAAGTTCTCTGTGCCGGTATGCATCCAACCGGTGGTACGCTGATCACGCCTATCCTCCGTGCCCCCAATGCGTATAATTTCTTTGTTTAATTTAAAGACTACGACTTTAATCACTGTTTATAATAAGCAGCTGCAACAACTTAATTATAATTGCAATACATGCAGATACAGTGAATGATGAATTAAATAAAGTACCTGCACAAAGGCTGAAGCCTCGGTGAGCATAAGATCAGTGTAGGCATAAATATCATATTTCCAGAAGCGTGCAGGTGTATGATAGTAGGTATTGACAATGTCATCACTGCCTGCTGCCACCACGAATAGGCTGTTGCTTATAATGCTGCTTGCTCTCTCTTCTCCAATGTACTTTTTCAGCTTCTCTATGTATTCTTTCAGCAGTTGTAATTGTTCCGAAAGCGGTATAACTAACTGTTTTTTTCTTATATATATATGAGTATAAACAAAAATCTTCAAGATTCAGATCACTAAGATTATACTAATAATTAAACCGTAATTAATTACCATTAACTTAGATGTCAGAGGATCAAATCCTGCTCCGCCTGAAGCAAAGTTTACACCAGTCGGCAAGTCCTCGGGTTGAAGACATGGATCAAGATACGCGGGCAATAATTCTTTGATTCCAAGGTCCTCCACTGAACAAAACAAAAAAAAGAGAATAAGCACATTCTTTGGTGACATAACTAATTGGAAAAGGATTTGCATTATAGTAGTAATAGAATAGATTATGAATAAATTACCAATAAGGTCTGAGGGAACCTTGCCATTGCCAAATCTTCCAGTTGGTAACCCTCCCATAAAATCTCTCCCGTATGGAAGGAAATTGCTTTTAACAAGAGTGGTAAGGTTGTTATTGTTCCCCGTATCAACTATCGAGTCCCCAAACATAAAAACACCCGGTATTGTTACATTGTTTGGTAGCTTTGCAATAGCTTGGGCAGTAGAAAGAATCAGATCCACATAAACAAACATAAAGAAAAATAAATTGTTCATTGCAGCTCTGCAGAACTCAGTTAACCTTCAAGCTTTTCTGATTCTGTCTGAATATAAATGGAATATATAATATGGAGGAAAATTCATCAATGTGTCAGTTGTGTGACTTCGAGATCAATTGATTCCTTGCACGGATCCGTTGCCACTCATGCAATTGGTGTGCTTTCTGATCGAAAAGGCTATGTATATCAATGGACTTCTCTAAAACGCACCTACCAAATCACCTGTTTCTGTTTCAAATAAAAAAGGAGGTCGAGGGAGGTCTATATGAATAAAATAATGCCAATCAAGCGTATATTAGTCAGCCTTAAAAATAAATCTAATATGCAGAAGTACTTTTCATGTGTGAATCTGCTTTCTGCAATTTTTTCAAAAAATTTAGTTATACTAGTACTTCAAGTGCAATCATGTCTGTGGTTTTGCACCCCCAACATATGCAGAAGCAGCCAAGGAGCAGCTACCTGCTGCAGAAAATGGGACGTTAAAATTTCCAGGGCTTTTTGCCTTTGGAGATTCAATTCTTGATACCGGCAACAACAATAATCTTGCCACTGTAGCTAAATGCAATTTCCCGCCCTATGGACAGATTTGGTGGGAGGCATCCCAACAGGAAGATTTGGCAATGGAAAAGTGCTCTCAGACTTGATAGGTACATAAATTGATCACAGGAAAACAGAGATACAAATGCTCTGGTAACCAATGATTGATGATCATCATTTATTGAACTAACTAGTTTCATTTTAATGACTTGTTTTGTTTGTTTTTAATTCTTTAGCCGAAGGCTTGGGAATCAAAGAACTTTTGCCAGCATATCTTGACCCAAACCTGCAGAGCCCTGATGTGTATGCTTTGCGTCAGGTAGCTCTGGTTATGATACTCTAACCCCAACCATAACGGTATGTTGCGGCTAAAATGTACATTCGACTCGAGGACCTTAATTGTTTGCTTCTCCTAATTGGAATATTGCTGATTTTCTTGTGGAAAAACTAGGGAACTTTATCTCTATTCAAACAACTAGAACTCTTCAAAGAGTACATTGTGAAGCTGAGAGGGATTGTTGGAGAAGAGAGAGCAAGAGCCATCATAGCCAACAGTCTATTTTTAGTTTCAGCAGGCAACAATGACATTTTGATTAGTTATTCTCTCATTGCTAGAAAGCTTCACTGCGATTCCTTCATATGCTGCTCTTTTGGTCAGCATGGCTTCTACTTTCCTCAGGGTAAATTAATTAATCAAATGAAATAATCAGCACTAGTATAGCGTGACTTAAATTTTCTTTCTTTTTTGTTGTTAAAATTAGTGTGACTTGACTTTGAAGGAATTATATAGCCTCGGGGCAAGGCGAATTGGTGTTTTCAGTACAGCAGCAGTGGGATGCTCCCCATTTGACAGAAATAGAGGAGGTTTACTGAGAGAGTGTTTGGAGCTGGAATTGGAAGAAGCAGCATGGTTCAATTCTGAGCTATCATCTGAACTAGATTACATCAAAACCAACTTTACAGACGCCAAGCTAGTCTTTTTGGATATCTACCACCCTCTTCTTGACCTCAATCAACATCCTCACAAATCAGGTAATCTTTTACTTATTAGATTTTAGCTGCTGCTTTTTGTTTTTCTTAACAATTTCACTTGTTTGTTTGTTTATATCTATAATTTCAGGATTCCAAGTAGAGAAGTTTGGATGTTGTGGTACTGGAACAATAGGAGTGGCGGTATTGTGTAACGAATTCAGTCAGTTCACATGTACAGATGCATCTAAATACCTCTATTGGGATGCAGTGCATCCCACAGAAAGAGCTCTCAGAATCGTTGCTTCTCAGATTCTTAAAAAATACATAAATAGTTTCTTTTGATGCTACCTATTGTATCAGTGGTCTAAGGTCTTCCCATATCAAGACTCTACTGGACTAATTTATATAGATAATATAAATATTAAAAAAAGGCATATTGGTGCATCTAAAGTAAACTTGCAGGGTTTTATTGATTGATTGGAATTGAATAATCATGCTGGCAACTTGCAAGGAAATTGATCATAAGGATAATGACTTGTCTCAGAAGAAGCGGTTGGCATATTTGTCTAGCACCTGCTGCACAATGATCTTGAATGCACTTTCTGTTGGATGGTAGCTGTCCCAAAAAACGTACTTAGAGTCATCTGAACAGGTGCCTGCAGGCTGAAACTGGTTGCACAGTTTTGTTACTTCAATAATCCCACTACCACAGCACCCTTTATTCACAACTTCAAAGCCTGCAGATATTCAATAAAAACATCTTTATTTGTATTCTTATTTCCGTTAAGGGGGAGAAGAAACAGCGCACAAATATTTAGTTGGATGTTTTTTATTTTTAGCTTATTATGACAAGAAAAATGAAAGATATATAATCGCGTTAGTTAGAACTTAGGCAGATTAATTCACCGTATTTTGTAGGGTTTATGATGAGATCAAGTAGTGGATTGTAGATGTCAATATAGACCACTCTTGAGTTGGGCAGGTTTTTGTTAAGGCCATCCATCTCTGCAGAGAGTTTGAAATTGAAGAGCTGCGATGCTTGGTTTTGTTTGTCGTCACATTCTCTTAGCATGCCTCCTCCAACCGTTCGTTGAGATGGCACACATCCGATAGGTGGCACATTGAGTACACCTATTCTTCGTGCCCCCAGGCCATATAAGTCCTAGCAACCAAATCATTTGCTACATCAAACTTTTAAGTTAGTTGCGCTATTTCTCCAAAGTTGAGTTCAAATGCTTACCTTGACGAACTGAGAGGCATAGTTGAGCATGAAGTCAGTGTAAGAAGGAACATCATACTCCAATTTCCTAGCACCGCTAAGAAAATAGGTGTTAGAAATATCATTGCTGCCCGCTACCACAAAAATCAAACAGTTTGCTACGATGAAGTTTGTTCTCTCTTCTCCAGCAATTCCTTTCAGCTTTTCTACGTACTCTTGGAACTGCTTCAGTTGGTCA